GCTGGGAAGGTGTCATAGAATACAAAATTTTTCTATGTTTATTCAGTTCTTAGCTACAGTGGATGCTCACATTACTTCATTTCAAGCAGAACTGTATATTCTGCAGCTTATGTCAGGCTTAGTAAGCCAGTGGGAGCCACTCCAGGCTCTTTGGCCCATGATGTCAGATTTTTTCCTGGGTGTGTAGGTTGCAACTAACATTTTCCCCTCCAACATCTTCCCCCTCTTCCCCCTCTTTTTTTAAGGTAATCTTTTACTGTATTTTTATCAGGTGGGTTGAATTAAATTGTTTTCATATACATTTTCTTAAATTTCATTTTTGCAGTTTTAAGCAATTTCAATTTTATTTTTATGTCAGTCTTAAAAATTAGATTGTGTGTTCAGAAATGCACTTCAGGGTGGAGAAACCTATTCTGTTGTCAGTGCTTAGACGACTCCCATACAGCTAACTAAACATGGCAAATGTAGAAGAAAGCACAAGCAACAGGTCTGAATATACTGTTCCTGTCAGCAGTGGAATAGAATTCCCAGTACTTAAAAGTAAAAAAAAGAAAAAAGAAAGAAAACAACCAGGGCTGCTTACAGATGTAAAAAACCAAAACCCCAAATGGCACTTTACTTTTAACTCCGCTTGCCCCTGCGCTGAGCCCAGTGCATGCCCAGAAGAGGCATTGTGTTAGTTGGACCTAGGTCACTCGATGTCTGCATAGATAAGGCGCTTTAGTGTGGCTTTCTTGGCACTTTTATGTAAAAGCTGATTGAATCAGCTTCAGCTAAAAGCACCAAAAAGCCCCACTGAAGCACCTGATCTATACAGACGCTGCAGAGCCGGGTTGAACTAATGCACTGCTTCTTCTGGTATAGTGCAGTTTTTTTGGTTTTGGAGTTTTTTTCCACATCTGTCGGCACTTCATTGTCCCCTTGTATGTCCCACCATGCCAATCTTACATTGGGGTTACAGTCCTTCTCCTCAAAAAATGACTTTCTTTCCCAGTGTTACTGTCTTACAATGAATTGTAGTTCTCTTTGGCTATTAAAATACTTGGATTTGTTTGCTAACATGTCACCTACATGAAAAAGGAGAAAATCTCCTGCCTCTACCCTATCCAGGGAATCTCTCAAGTGTTGAGAAGAAATGGTCAGAAAAAGGGAAGTGGCACCCTGCATTAGGGACCAGACCCCTGTCTGCAAACTAGACAGTTTACTATAAACTTGTGGATTCTTCTCAACTCATAACAAGGTTCTGGGGAGAGCAGTCTTGGTCATCTCTACAACCTTCACACACTTAGCGTATTTTTGTTCCAGTGCTGCAGTATACTTGTTTAGTTCTCCTCTTTTCTTAGAAGTAAGATTCCTTCCAGTTTATCAATACTTCTGTATTTTGGAATGCCAGTAGAGTAACTCAGCATTGTGAAGATAGCTTCAACAGTACTGTACAAATGATGATAGTTGCACCTTCTTCTTCTGGTGCACTTCTTATCAACTCTCTAAGCTCTTTAAGCAAGGGATATTATGCATCGTTATTCTCATTTTACATATGGAAAAACATGCACAGAGGTAAGGTGCCTTTTCTGAGGTCAGCTAGCAGGACAGTGACATAAACAACAATAGAAGTTGGGTCTCCTGAGTCCCAAGCCTTTGGTTTCTGGCAACTGTCTTAAAAGATCATCATCTTGGTCATGTGGTGAAGTTTCTGTATATTAAGTCCAAATTAAACAGGGGGAAAGGTGCTTTGGCTACAGAAAAGGGTAGATAAAAGGGAGCTTTGTGATGATAAATTATAATAGAATATTTTTCTCTTTTTTAGTATAGGGAGAGTTGGGTGTCTTGACTTATTTTAGAGAACGCTGAGTCAAGAGGTTAGTTCTGACTGAAGTAAGCTATTGTTGTCTCCAAAAGCCAAATAAGTCTAGAATTTCCAAACTCCACAGGATGTCAGGTTCCTCCTTTGGAGACGTTATTCTTCACAGCCTGCTGTGTTACAACAGTTAAGGAACTTACAAATTCTAGTGGTAAAGGTCAGAGCTAGTACTTTTTTTTCAGGCTAACTACAATTCAAAGAATTTACCAGGCTCTGGGAGTAATGTATGCCTTCAGTGCCTAAGTAGCTGGACCAGGTATTCATCATCATATTTCACCTTATTCTGACCCAGATACTTATTACAAATGTTCAGTTTTTTCTGTTCCTCATGTTTACCCCCAAATAACAGACATGATCTTCAATGTTTAAAAAAAAAATCTGTTTTTTTCCCTAGAAATATTGTTGGGTTTCAGTTCTCTGGCTGAAGAGAAGTTAAGTTCACATTCCCTCATCTTTCACAGAAACAAGATTTTTGTGTGGAGAGAGGGTTGGTATAGAAAGAGTTAATGGTTTTTGTGGGTGATATCTTTTATTGGGCCAATTGCATGGTTGGGAAAAGTTAGGCAAGCTTTCAAACCCAAGATGTTCTTCATCAGAATAGAGAGAGAGTTTGCAATTCAACTTCTTTTCTTTCCTACTTCCATTGCAGAGTGCCTGGAATAACAATTGCTACAGACATCATCTGTGGTTTCCCTGGGGAGACTGATGAAGATTTTCAAGAAACAATGAAACTTGTAGAAGAGTACAGGTTTCCAAGCCTCTTTATTAATCAGTTTTACCCACGACCAGGAACCCCTGCTGCAAAAATGCATCAACTTCCAGCCTTAGTGGTAAGGTATATTTTCTTACACTGTTGTACTTGGTGGCACATATTACATAGCTTTTAAGTTATTCCAGTTTTTAAATGTAGTGTACAATGTACTGAATTGAATTTAAATATAAGACATGTTTTCATGAGAACATTGCTTCTTGTAGAATTTTGCACAATTAAAATAAAGTTGTACATATTGCCATATAGTGAGATGGTAGTGAAAATGCCTTACAGATTAGGTAGATTGTTGGAAATCTTGCCTAATACAAAGTTTAAATTACTGTTCAAGTTGCTATTAGATGTAAACTAAAATTTATGTAAGGTTCAAGTGATTGTGGATTTTTCCTCTTTGATATGATAGTCGCATAATTTTCCTAACATGTTTTTGGGAGTGTCTCAGGTTATGAAGAAAAGAGCAAAGGTTACATCAATTTTTTTCATTTTTGAAGTCTTGTTATGCAACTCCCATGGCATCAGATGCACTATAAATGATCCCATGCAAAGTATTAATAAGAATAATAGTGATCTTTGATTTATACATTAAAGGTCAAATTTGCATGTAACTACTTCCATTCCACTGAGACCTAGTTCATAAATATCTTCTATGATTTCACACTTTTAAAAAAATCCAGTGCCTGCCTTCATCATATATGGTAAAGGTCATTGGTGAAATTTACATTCATTATTATGTTTAATTTTCCAGTTTTCAAATATTCTTCTTTGGTTAGCCATTGTCACATAACCCTTTCTAGCTACCATTCTTTTCTGAAATTCCCCATAAGCATAAAATCCACATATATTAATATAGGAAGCAGATGGCTCTCAACTGTATTCTAATTGATACATAATTTAAATTTCCTTTATCTTAAGTGACAAGAACAGCATGTGTATCTACACTTTTAAATGATGATTTTTAAAAATGTTTTACGGTATAAATATGCAAACTTGCCTAATCTGGATTTTGGTACATGAATCTATGCAGTTTTAATTGCCTATGAAACAGATATAACTCTTCCTTAGTACCTCTATGAATATAGATATAATTTATGTACTTTGCATTTTCAGTCAAGATGAGAATAATGTCAACTAATGTAGGTGAATAAAACCAGCATACTGTATTTAGTTAGGGTCATCATCAACATGCAGCTACTGTGTAAGGCAGCGTCAGTATATTTCTTCCTTTGTATCTTTATATCTCACTGAGAGAGGGATAAGTTACTGCAGATTAGCTTCCAGCTATTGTGGGGGAAGGGTACGCACATAGGCAGTTACTACAGAACAGCTGATGTGTAATACAGTACATCATGGGTGTCAAACTCACCCCCACAAGCTGGATAAGGGTCACTGGTCCAGTCTGTGGGCTGGAGAGGGTTACAGTGGAGCCAGCATGCAGGACCTGTCTGGTGAGGTACTGCAGGCAGTGTACACTGCATGTCATCTCCCTGTGCCCTGTGCAGTGCGCACACTGTTCAGCATCACATACTGCCTGCAGCATGCACTAGCCCTGCTCTAGGGTTTGCTTTGCATGTGGTACACATGGCATATGCTGTATAGCGTACCCCACGAGATCAGCCCTGTGCAGCCAGTCTAGACCAAGCCCCAGGCTGTCTGTGTGCACTGGATCCAGCTCACAGGACCAGTCCAGTGGGACACCCCCTGGAGCACATGCCCTGTGCCAGCCCCATGCACCATGTGCAGAGCGTGCCTCAGACCAACTCCCTGTGTCTGGGGCCCAGCCCAGCTCTAAGACCCATGTAGTGGATCACAGGGCTCCATGGTTCAGGTCTGGCCTTCGGGTCATCTGTTTGACATCCTGGTAGTAAATCCGTTCCCGCTTTCATCCCAAAGAAAGCAATTCATGTGTACACCCTCATGTAAGTAAACTCACATTGTTGAATGACTTTTTTTTCTTTCTGAAAGGCTTGTTTGTTGCAGACACTTACGTTTAAAATGTCGTCAAATAATTATGGAAGTTGGAAGAGAGTTAAAAATGGAAACATTTGGCTTAAATTACTATCCTTCTGTCCACATACATGCAACCTCATTCTGCCTCAGTGGGATTGTGTAGGGGTAGGAAAATTAGATCTCCTATTTTTCCTGCAACATGGAGTTAAATACTATTATGCTGAGACACCGCTGAATATTAATTAAATAAGAACCAGCTTTTTAAAAGAAAGCACTCCTAGTGGCACTAGAACTGGGGGTGAGTAGACTTTAACCAAGCTTGATGTTTTCTTTTTATTCTTATTTCTATAACTTGCTGTTTTTGAGGAACTAGAACCTTCAAAGAAATTATGGAGTCTTACATTCCAGAGCTGATGAAAAACTGTAATTAATAGACATGTCCCCTCCCTCTAACCATTTCTCTGTTATTTGTAGTCCTCAACAAACCTGAGTTATAAACTCCTTCATGCTTTCATCTCTTTCTAGAAATGCAGGGTAATCAATCAACTGGAACGAGGATAGCTTATGCTAATCTATTTATATTTTATATTCACGTTGCCTCTGGATAGAAGCCAGTGGTCCTCTCTGCAGTATCAGGAATGCACAGACATTTTGTATTTTATTCCTAGTCCAGAACTGCTTATAATTATGTATCTTTCTCAGCTGAGAGAAGCATGCACGTTACCATGTACTTCCACCAGTCGTATTCATCATATGCTTTTTTAAAGTCTACATGTTATCTTTAATGAATCTACTTTGGTACCTTGACAGATGGATGAGCAGCACATGGACATACTATAGCAAAGTAGATTTTATATGTATAGCTTGACAATGCACATGCACTCTGTGTGTGTGTGTGTGTGTGTGTGTGTGTGTGTGAGAGAGAGAGAGAGAGAGAGAGAGAGAAAGAGAAAGTATGCAGGCAGGCACAGATTATCTATCTATATATATAAGCCTGCTTCACTATAGTAGGTCCATGTGCTGCTTGTTCTTCTATCAAGTTACCACAGTCCAATGACTTATGAGAGACAAATTGAGAGTGTATATTTATTGACAATCTGATCTCATGAGCCAGTGTTTTGTCAGGATGTCCTTATACTACTAGCTGCAGAGGATACAGTTTTCTATTGGCAGTATTTCTTACTAAAGAAATTTTGGGCATATGATTTAAATAAGGGTGCTGAACCAGGGAATTAGAATGATGAGTTACATGACAGCTGCTGTCCTTCTCTTCTTCCTCAATATTGGCTGTGTTGGCTGTTTTGTTTTAGCACTGCAGATATCTGACATGAAAAAGATAAATTACTATTTGTAATTTGCCTTCTTTCAGCACAGCTGGGTTTTTTTGGTCCTAAGTCTCAAATGTATACCAGCAACATATTTGCTGTGTCAAGTATCTTGGGTTCACTTTTTCTAGGATGGATCACCTGTCCAAAATGCAAAGTTGAGGAAGTAGGCATGGTAATATTAGTTTGTTTTTAGGGTATAGTTTTGACGGAGGTGCTAAATGTAATTTTTTTTTGGAGGAAAATGGTATGAAGGGAAAAATCTCATTCTGGCCTATCTCAAGAAAAAGCTTTCGGTGGATCTTCATGAAATTTTTCTTTCACCCAGAGGTTGTATTGAAAGCCATATCATCATTGTTCCGATTCTTACAGTGTGGATGATGCTAATCCACTACCATATGTTATCAGAAAAAACAGAGAAGCTACAGGTCTGTCATCTTTTGCTGGTAGAGAAAAAATTTGTTTGGGTTATCACACATCTGCCTGTTCTGTAACCATCAGTTCATTTATTCACACAACACAATAAGCTAGTAAGTTTAAAGGAATAAACTACTAAATTTTGCTATTCCGCTTTAGTAAAAGATGACTCAACATGACGGTAAGATGCTGTACTATCTTTTAAAATAAAATTTAAAATGAATGTATTGACCAAATTAAAGTACAGTAGACACTGAATAACCACACTCTGGTCAACTGTATATTGTTTCTGCCCTTCTCATTAAGGCCTGTTAGGAGATCTTGCTCTGTTTGATAAGAGAATTTCTTGCTATATAGCTTTCAAAAACACCTTTCTAATTTCCCTTACATTTACGAAGTACTTTACAGTGCAGTTTTTTAGCTATGGAAAGAGATAGATAACTCATAACTGCTTCAGAAAGGAGGGAATTGCAGCTGGGGAGCACACATCAGCTATTACACTGTCAGTGTCACCACTCCTTGCTCCTGTTGCCATACTAATGAACTAAATTGCTATAAATTTAACTCCAAATGAAACAGAGTTAAAGTAACAGTTTCACTGCCCTAATATTGCTACAGGGAAACAGAGATGTAGCAGTTACAGGGTAGAGTTACCAATCAACATCATAAGAGCACAGAGGTAAGTCACAGTTCATAGGATCTAGGAAAGTAGGGCACGGAGAGACCTTAAAAACATTATCTACACCAGAGGTAGGCAGCTTGTGGTACGTATGCCATAAGTGGCATGGGTAGCCTCTCTGTGGCATGCAGCAGGTCAGGCAAGGAGCAGAAAGCTGAGGAAGCAGATCAGAGTGACACTTAAGGAGGGCAAGGGTTTAGCTTGTGGCATACCTGCCAAAAAGGTTGATCCCTGCTGACCTAGTCCAACTCCTTGCACCGGACAGGCCCATCCTATCTAAAACATCCTGGACAAGTGTCGATCTAATCTATTCTTAACATCTCTGGGAACAACCCTTGCAACTACTAGGTATAACGCCCAAAACTTCAAAACACCTTTCATTTCCACAGACAATGTAGGGGACGAGGGCACAGTTTGTGCAGTTGTTTAGCATTCTGTTGTAATTCCATGGTAACATTTCCATAATAAGATGGTTACACTCAATATTCTGGCCACAATCCAAACTGAATAATTACCTTTATGTCTACTTTCAGTTGTTTATAGCAGCAGCCAGCAACCTTTTCGAGCTGTAGGTTAGAACAACCTGGCTCCAGTCTGATGCAGGCCAGGTGGCTTCCACAGCATGTCAGCAGCAGGGGAGCTTTCACTGCATCCACAATAGGGCAAGGCTTCTGGGAGCTGTACCCATGCTGC